ACGTCTACAACTGCTGCGTCAACACGTCTACAACTGCTGCGTCAACACGTCTACAACTGCTGCGTCAACACGTCTACAACTGCTGCGTCGACACGTCTACAACTGCTGCGTCAACACGTCTACAACTGCTGTAGCTGTACGCGTACTTTGTTGATCAATGCAGCGGTTCGGAGGCGGGCAGCATACACTTGGCTGTTCTCATTGGCACGCTCTCGTGTTGCGTTCATTGCGTCGCAATCGGGGCCGTTAATTAAAAAAACCTAGAACTAACATTTATATCTATATTGTGTAGAACCACTGCACTCTCATAAGTGTTGATATATAAAAAACTGTTGTTGGTGCACAGACCTGTTTTTCCTGCAAGATAATACCACTTCGTTGCAAGATAATGCAACATATGTCGATGGGAGATAATGTCGCCTCGTTCACTAACCGTGCTCATCGCCATAATAATTAACTTAAAATGAATCTACCGCATACTGAGGCTACATTGTTTGTTTGATTTAAATAAGGGGCTAATAAATGATAATTAATAAAGAAGTTAAAGCCTCGTTTGCCAATTCTCTCAAAAGATAGTCACGTGAAATTGAACAATGGCAGCTACAAGGTTGGTAATATTAAAAATATTATCAGCTTGAAGCTATCTGTCCAATAACATAATGTTGTAAATCAGCAAGCGTCATGTAACATAGACTCGCCTGTAATAAGTATCACGAAAATATAAAAAAATATTTGCTCTACATACAAGGAACTACGTACTCTTAATTCGCCAACATCTGGTCAATAAATCAATTAAAATTGAAAATAAACTTCACCAACATCCATAATTTTATCCAAACCCATAATCTTAACGAGGTTTTATTTACATCAATTTCATTATTAATAAGCTATTATCAAACATCATGAAAAATTGAACCATGAACTCAGTTCGTAGATATCGCTCGCCCGATTTTTCTAGATGAAAAATGATGCACTGTCACATGACGTAGGACGTGCTATATTTTAGCCTGGAAAATTAAATAAAGATGGTCGTTAGGCTAAGTTTACAAAGGCTGACCTGAAGCATGACCAGACCAATTAAGCGTACGCGGTGAGACTTGCTTGCGAAACAACCGCGATGTTCAAGGTAACTTTTAAGCATTGCTCATGTCCGACATTAATGATGGCGATTAAAGGTCAAAATATTAAGTTCCCAATGCACTTGTCTTAATGGCGTAGAGCTTGAAACTAAGAATAGAATCAAGATTTTTGCCGAGCTCACCTGCAGCGTTGAGTTTGCCGTCATGGAACCACCTGAAGGTGGAGGACTTGTGGTCGTGTCTGCTGACAGTTGTGAAGGGTTCGTTCCACTGCAGGAGTTCAGAGCCAAGGGTTCCCCAGAACTGGTCCGACTGACAGGAACAGGATCAAAACTTTGATGAAATATTTCACGAGATATGGAGGCAAACTATTACCCTAAACCTAATTATTATCCTATTATCCTACTGGCTCACACGATGTAAAATTAATGAAAATCGATTAACTTGTAAATGTCAGTAAATCGTATATTATCGATGATCGTAACACACCGACGCAGATCGTTACTTACGTTGAAAATAAATCGTAAAAAAACGGGAAAAATTAGTGATTTTATTTCAACTTGTCATAATTGCGCTGCAGAACAGACGAGAGTTTTTAACATAATTTTATAGCGTATCATTAAAAAAAATATTGATACGCATATTGTGACTCAATTCTGAATAAGTCTCATTGACTACCTTTCACTGCTGCCCATTCAGTTCAAAAGTTTTAGCATTTACACTAGCCGCATTCCCTCGCTCATTAATTCAGCCTATACCTGATACAGCATCCACTAGACATCATTAACCTATATAGTTGAATAATTCAAGTGAAGACGGTCGATGCGTCAATGAACACACCATATGAGATACGGTACGCAGCTTTTTTCTTGGCACCTAAGTTAATAACTTTAATTGAAGCGTGTGCCATGCGCGATCATTGCACATGGCACTGACACACAATAATACAATAACGCATTGACAATAACAATGACAATAACACATTTGTGTTATTGTCAATAACATTGACAATAACACAAATAATGTTGAGGCACTGCCTTCCAACCGCTGAGCTATGTTACAGTCATACACACGCGTGCTGAAATCTGTGAAACTTTCAATCGTGTTCCTCTCATGCAAAAAAAAAAAAAATGATAAATAATATGATCGTTTTAATATACATCTTTATATCTTAATGAATATAATTGTAAAAGTATTTAATTAAGGTACCTCTGAAAGTACCTATTCAATATATCGTTTCTAACCATTCGAATTTTATTCACGGAAAGCAATCGTAAAATGAACGAAGGATGAAACAATGTTGCTAAACCGTAACGCACCCAAATCCTGCTTAATTCGCATCAAACATTGTTGCCGAAACAGGCGAAAATCGTTTGATTTAGTTAATAAGGAATGATGCACGCAGTGTATAATTAAACGTTTTTTATGAATTGCACACTTCTTAACAATGTATATAGCATACAAATGGATCAATCATCTTACCTCCCTCAATGAGAAATCGTACAGTTGACTGTAATTCTTCAGCTGTGGAAACTTGTTTGTTATTTCAGGTAGCGGTGAGCTGATGATATTCTCTGATGAATATTTGGATGTCGTGGAAAAACGTTGCGCCGAAGTGCACGTTGAAGCAGAAGCAAGAAGAAATTGCGGGAATGTTGGTCCTATGGCGGTGGATGAGAATATTCGCAAACCCGAACTCGGCGAATAGCGCCATAATTTGCAAGTCATTGTACCAAAAGGTAAGAAAATATTCAATAATTAAAAGTCTAATTTACAGCGAATGTATTAAAATAAGAAATTTCATTAAACAGAGCTCATACGAAGCACTGGAATTCATCAGGCTATTATAACAGATTTAGGTCATCTATATAGTTAGGTCGCGATGTAACTGATCATACGAAGCACAGAGCCAGAATAACATCCTGAAAATAATTTGTTGATGAAATCACGATCGCCTTTTGAATTATTTACATGCATTCTTGGCTATGCCATATAATTTTCATTATCTTTCTTATTGCTTTTAATTTATTTGATTTACCGGCGGTTAATTTTATTTAGACATGTGAGGGAAATGTGTTAATGCGGTTCAAGCACAAATCCGGGTCACTCGCGCCCTTTTTTGGAGGAAGAATTTTGTCTGAAGCAATGATGTGGAGTGACTAATTAACAGACTATTTTTTCTAAATATATATTACCATAAACGTACGAATAAAATTAAGAAACCATGTGTTTTGGTCAACCGAGCTTTCCAGCTTTCAATGCATTGACGGTTGACCAGATGTAAGAGAAGCCTTGAGCCTCACAACACGTTTACGGGGGACATGCAGCTCTGTTTTCTTGTCTCGAGTGGAAACGACTGTCTAGCATCTTGTACAAAAACATGCCGTGCGGATTAGATAACAAACAAAGATTCCCACACCGTAATAAACATAGAATTGATCTCTCATCTAATGCAATCTATTGCAAGGTAGACAAACTACCTTCGACTGATGGTTCAGAGAGGTGGCGAACGCCTTCTTACTTAGCAATCAGACGAGATGATTGCTAATCACGGTCAACGATCTCAAATTATGTTTTATTCTATTTCTTTCGTCCGATTATAACTGGAGATTATTGGCTATGAAATTGATATAAACAGTCATCACATCAACTACAGTCATACCAAAAAACAGCAGGCTGATAAAATTCTAGCAGTAACACAAATATTCAATATTAATAATTCAATTTTCAAGCATTTTGATGGATTCTGAAATTAAAACCCGCATCACCCTTTATCTTGAAATCGCAACGCAAAAAAGATCAAAATGCAGAGATTTCAGCGCACCAGAGATGTGGCGGGCGACCTGTAGAGTTCAAGGTGGCATGTTTTGCAACGTCCTGCTGGCACGCAGACAGGCCTAGTGCTCGATAACAGCTGTTCACTTGTGCACTACTATAGTCTCCGATATGTTTTCTATCCTCTCAGTTATGTTTATTGTAGCCCAAGTGAAACGGAAGAAAGAAGATCAGTTTGAACTTCATGGGTGGCTGTTTCATTAAAAAGCCAAACTCACTTCTAATAAAGCTTTCACTTCTAATGAAAGTTAGCTCATAATTCACCGATTAGTTAGTTCGCAGGTGGTTTGTTCCGATTAGTTAGTTCGCAATGTGATTTTGTTAAGTTACACTATAAGCTTCTTAACAAATTCTCCCTATTATTATACCTACAAATTTTGTTTATTTACTTTAGACAGGATCGAGTTCGTGCAGTTACCTCATGGAACTAAGGACTAATAATGAGGTACTACGACAGTCAACTAACCTACCTATAAGAATAACCGAAGAAGAGTTTTTTACAGCCCCGCTCTGAATTTTAGGGTTAAATTGAATAAAAGCCAAGTTGAATAATTGGAAGGGAAAATATCCCATTTCTTAATATTTGATATGGCGAAAGCATGCAGAATTAAGTTAATCACGGTGGCTCTTGCTCCTGATAATCATAGTATATTTCCAAGTCCAACTGTGTCGGAGCGACGGGGCTATGGTGGTATTGCTGCTGGCCGCGGCAGGCAATGCATTTGAATTGTTACAAAGCAATTGTTGAATTGTTGGCATTCCATGCGTGTCAAGTAACTTATTGATTATAAAAGTGTCCAGAAACTTATTTCACGAACAAATGACTTGCAAATGTGATTTTAAAATAGGAAACAGCCAAAACCAGTCATGAAGGAGCTTTCATTCTCGCCACACTTACACCTCCTCTCTATCCGGCTTGCAGCCAGCTACTGACGATGCGACGCCATACGAGCACCATTATCCGCCCAATTCTACAGGTGTTCCCCACAGGTAGATAGGCTCAAACACCTATCCTGTTACTCAAAACTTGACAAACATTTTATATATTTTGTACGATCTTTTGCTGTTGTATTCGAAACATGGAATCATAATGAACCTTCGATGTAAGTTCATATAAAGCAGAAGTCTGATTTGCATATAATTTATGAAATTCCTGCAATCGGCTGAGATAGCTGATAGAGCCAAACAATCGGGTGCTATCGCCGCAGAGCGATTGAGATTTGCAAGTGTTGGACCACGTTAATAGTGTCCAGTCTACACTCCACGCATAGAACTTGTAGCTCTTTCATACCTACTCGCCGTGCCTGACATTTTATACAAGCCTCCGTGCCTGACATATACATTATACAAGCCTCCGTGCCTGACATTATACAAGCCTTGCCGTGCCTGACATATATATTATACAAACCTCCTTCTATATAAACTCTAAAGCTACTGTATATGGTTGACCGCATGCAACCCGCTCATCATAAAATTGATCGCCCAGGCAAAATTTTTTTATCAACAGTTTCATATCTCCAAGATTATGTGATGTGCAAGACGTAATAAAATTGCTCAAATAAAAATCTTGTTGTTTAAATGACTCGGAACACAAAATTTTAGCTCTCCCTGATTGACCACCATATCATGCAGAGCAACATGATACAAATCAATGTATCGCATCAGTTGACCTGAATGCTTAGCCAGAGCTTGTATGTATAATGACAGCTCGTCCCCGTCAAGAGAAAACCGAGTTTTTGTGATGCGTTCTATGATGTATCCTATCATTTGCTTAGGCCAAGTTGAAATACAAGGACAGAACATTTAAATATCATTTATTTACACGAATTTATTCCGTATGCGTACTATGCCTCTACCTGCGATGAAAAACCCCGAAGGAAGCGAGTGTCGACTACGATCGCGTCTGACTACAATACTGATCCCATCTGCGTTGTTGTGTCTGACAATGTGACGATTCGGTTGTCGAAAAAAATACAATTGGGACGTTTGGTTCAGGTAAAATATTACGGTGATTCTATTACACAAAGCAATTGCCGCTGTCCAAATGTCGCTGAGAAGTAGAGGGTGACAGAATTCCGTTCATGATGAATAAACCTTACATAGATATTGATTGATTGTACTATAGGTATTGATTGGTGTTGGGAATCTTGTCAAAGACGTCCCTTTACTGGCATCTTGGTTAAAATATGAGCAGCATAGAGCCTGGTAGATTATTCGCTGTTACACTTTCTGAATATCCAAAATCAGTGAAAGGAGCCTCGATAAAGCCTTTTCGGGTAGCTGCATCAATATAGAGCAAACTTAGGTTGCGACTTACTTCCTCCCTTGTGTGCTACTACGTTTAAAGAAGTTCAAAACATTGCAGAAGGGACCAATTACACGCGGTAGAATATTCTAGTAGTTTGCACCATTACCAAACCACAAATTTTGAAGTCAAAAAGCACAAGGTGATTCGCGGAAACTTCCTAATTTGAAAGCTCAATAAAAAAAAAGATCAGGTACAGATATGATTACAATATAATATTATTGAAAAACACATTACCTGAAGTTTAGTTTCATTTAGTTTAAAGATGACATCGAACGAAATGACGGCCTCCATTGTCAATGAATTATTCAGTTAGTCGATTTTTGAAGTTCCGTTCAACTCGCAGAAGTATATTGACGGGTATGTTGGCGATGGCTCGGCGTATGTTGTTCTTCAAAAGAGGTAGGGTACTTGTAAACAATTTATTCAAGTTAACCACATAAAAATTATACGGAGACAAAGTCGGGTGAATCGAGCCGGATCTGGAACCCGGCCTGAAGGACGAATACGGAACTGAGTATAGACGGAATGCTACTAGAGTAGCGAAAATGGAACTGCCATTAGAAAAGTACGCCTCGACAGCAAACGCACGCTGTTCACTTGTCCAGTGCATAGTGGCAACTGACTAAGCGGGGCAATAAACTTCAAGACTTGCCTTTCCTATGAACTACTCCCCGCCCTTTTCCTACAACATCTGGCTGCTTGGCGCGAAATACAAAACAGGAAGTTTTCGTTAAGCACCCTATAGAACACTGAGAACTTCAATCGTTTCTTCCCGTTTCTTATGAAGACTGTCAAAATGTATACTCACAAGGATACCGTCTACGAAAGTGCGCTTGCTTAATTCTGTTCAAAGCAGATTTGGACCGGAAAAAGAAAAACGCAGACTTTCTTTATTACAAATTAGACTTAAACGGCAATACATAGATAAGACATGGTAGTAATGTAGCTTTACCTACTACCTCACATAGATTAGGTTCTTAACAAACGCAAAGCACGCATGAAAAATAGGCCAATTGGATTATGAACAGATGGGATGGGTCTTTGATATATGGATACGAACTATTTGACGATAAAGGCAATAGATTTTTATTGCGCTTTCTCAATAATTTAAGATTCAATGATACTTAAGAGGATTTTGGCACAAGTGTGACTGTTGACACTCATGAGGTGATTTTATAATTGCAGCAAATTTTTTTTTAACGAGAAAAAATGCTCCGATACTCGTTATGCATACAAAAACTCCTACCGAGCATGCAGCGGAGAACGACTGTGTTCGAAATTTTCATGTGCAGTATACGATGAGCCTAATTTGTACCTAACTTTGTAGTGCACACGAATTCAATTACCAACCATGCAAAACCGTTATCTGTTCACAATAGACATATTTACAAGTTATACAATACAAAGCCCCATTACGAAACAGATACTTATTTATTCAAAATTTCATCCTAGAAAAGAAGTTGTTGGGAGCACTGGGCAGGAAAAACATCGATGCAAAGCCGATATAGCTCATTGCTAAGTATGGATTTTAAAATTTGTCGTACTTGATCAAACGGCGATACTGGCTGGTATGCAGGAGAAATGAAAGATTTAAACTCGGCTTACCCTCCGACACGGTAACTGTGGCGCACAGCATCGATCGTTTGGTTATATTGATATATTCGTTCTATGGCGAAAGTTCTATGGCGAAGTGTACAAATTCAACACGCACAATATCATCGAAACGCAACACTTTACGGCATATCTGACACTAACATATTCAATTCTTCCTCTAGTCGTCGGCGTCGGATACGCTCAGTGTTGTACTTCTCTTTGCAACTGTCAACTTCGGCCTTCAGAAGGTAGCAGTTTTTCTTGATTGCCGCCATTTTATCTTCGTGCTTCTTGGTCCGAGATTGCAAGAAATTAATTCTCACCTGCAAGGAATCATTTTCATCGTCAGGATCACTTTCCTCGCCCTCAGTGTCAGACCAGCATGGCTCCTCGAGCTGAGTGAGATCTTCCAAATCTTCCTCCTCCGACTCTTCTTCTTCCTCTTCTTCACCGTCGGCGTTCAGCCTCTTTACTTTCTTCTTTTTGAGCTTCTTTGGTTTGAGGTTTGGTTTATCAAACCACCAGCCAGGCTCATCATCATGGTTTTCCTCTTCCTCTTCGTCTTCTTCATCCTCGTCTTCTTCTGCTGCCAGTTCCTCTGGATCCTTCAATTGTCTCACCAACTCATCAAGTTCATTTTTCGACTTGAGATAATCAACTCTCTCTTGGTGCATGTCTCTGTAGAATTTCTTTATCCGCTCACGTAGGTTATTACGCTCTTTGATGACATTAGCTTCCTTAGCTTTCATATGTTCAAGCTTGTTGGCCCAAAACTCTCGATCGCGCTCAAGTCGTCTAGTCTCGTTTTGTACTCGTTTCGCTTCTCGTTCTTCCTCAGTGAGACCGTCCATGTCCTCAGCAATAGTTTGGTCATCATCTGCTTCCTCGTTAGAATCTTCACCCTCTTCGGATTCTTCTTCAGATGAAGAAGATGTCTCTTCATCGCTCGCTTCTTGGAAACTTTCCATTCGGTTAATCTGTGAAGCGAAACTTCTCCTGGATCCAGATTTCCTAGCAGCCGCACCGAAGCCATCCAAAGCATTCACGGAATGATGCAGCTGATCTTTAGTTTCCGGCATAATTACGTCTACAGGATCCGTCTGGGTACCAACAATGCCGATGTCTGGTAGTTCAATAGATTGGTCTTTCTGCAAAGCTTTAAATTTTTTCTCGAAGAAGATGGACCTGCATTCCCACTCATCACTCGCCGCGTTAGCTACCTTAAGTTTTTCTTCCAACTCAAACATTTTATTCTCGAATGCATCTGCCCGCATTCTTTGTGATTCGATTTGTCCGTTCAGTTCTTTAATTTCCGACTCGAGAGTATCAAGCTCGTCAGTGTCCAGTATATCCTTCTCACTCATCCTGAGTTTGCTCATTGACTTATTCAGTTTCGGCATGATTCCTTCTTCACCGTTAACCATGGGTTTGTCTTCAATTCCGACCTCCTTTAGTTGCCGTTTCAACTTCCTTATCTCGCTGTGCAAAGCTTCGATATCGATTTTCAGAACTTTTTTCTCCCGTTCGAGCTTTTGCGTCTTTTTGATTTCATCGGCAAGCTGCGTTTTGGTTGCTTCCAAATCGTCCCTCATGCGATCAATGTCCTCTTCGTCGTCAGAAGAAGATGGCAGAGCGTCAGGATCTTCTGGCTTGACTTTCTTCTTCTCTTCTACGGTGACTTGACGACGGAATTTCTTCAGACCTGCAAGCAAGCGGAATAAAATTTATCAGTAAGCCGGTTGCAGAAACACTAAATATTTAACATAACACTTATTTCAAAGTTCTACTAATCCTTACGTGATTCATTAATTAATTAAACAACCGGAAAAAAATCTGTCAAACCTTCATTTGCGTTTCAATAATCTATTATTATTTCAACGTTTCAGGTCCATCTACTTTTATATCTACGGCATGAATACGATTAATTTACTTATTTTGAATATAAGGTTATTAAAAAAATTCCATCTTTGCACTAAAACATTTCATGAATGTTGATTACAAATTAATTAAAAAGTTTTGGTGGATAGATAACATTTGTAATCGTTTAATAAGGATGAATATATAATTAGAGCAACTTGATATGATAGGCTCATGCAGAAGACATACACTTAAGCATTACAAAGATGAATAGTAAACATCTATATTATAAAATAATATACGTTTAAAAATTACTTTTGCGTTAGTTTAGCAGCTGAAAAAAAAAATATTTATTTGATATTTCATTTGGATCACACTTGCTGGCCGTAAGAAAGCGCTAGAAATCCACAAAAAAAAAGATGCCCAGGACGAGGTGAGATAAGACAGAGAACAGCAAGCGTGCGTCGTGCACGCATGGAACGTACCAAGTCTGTTGAAGTCTGGCTTGCTTCTGTCGTCGGTGCGCACGCGGCGCAGCTTCACGCCGCGCTGGATCTCATGCAGCAGCTCGTTCACGATCGTAGGCTTCTCGCTCTCGTACACGAACTAAACACATAAAATTACGTCAGAATTCGAAACACTTACGAAGTGAACAGACAACACTCTTTCGTCATCTTTGGGACAGTCACAACTGAACAGACAAACGAATAAAACGGAACTCATCCGTTTTATATTTTAGATATTCACGAAGTGAACAGAAGTCTTACATTTGGGATATTCACGAACTGAGCAGACAAAATTCCCCGTCTTACATTTTGACATTCACGAATTGAACGATCAAAATTCATCCGTTTCATATTTTAGATATTTACGAAGTGAACAGACATCGCTCACATTCATCACTCACGATCATTCATTGACATCACCTCACGGACTCGTGAGGTGATGTCAAAAACTATTGTACTATCAAGCTCGTTCGTACAGTCGCACATCTTTTTTTCTCTTGTTCTACGCGAGCAGCTAAGTAGATTAAAGTTACATGGAATGGCTAGAACAATAAAATCTAATAATCTCTCGATCTGTGGTAAATTGCACTTTCTCAATTATGGTAACATTTGTGTACAAAACTATCTCAAATGAGCGCGAATCGTATTTTACCCAGCAATCACTACGATCATGAGTTCTTTAGATTCAAGTTGTAATTGTCCAATACTATGACCCATGCATTCGTTGAGTTGGTTCGCTTAGCCAACAAGTTTATCATATTATTGAGGGAGTTTTTACAACGCGATTAATGATAGTCAATTACCCCACCTTTCCGTTCTTTCCCCGTGATCCAGGGAGAATAGGCTTCGATCTGTCACTGATCTCTGCGACATGCTTCAGCTTCACGCCGGCCTGCAGGGATGAAGAGAGACAACTCGTGTTAATAAATAATTACGGATCAGGCAATAAGTCCAGCAGCTATCTCAATCAATCGTCAGCTATAGAAAGATCGGGTTCCAAAGGCCGGATTCCTTGTGAATCAAGTCACGAAAAGTTCAAGAATCGGCAACAGGCCATGGGCCTATTTCTTCAACGCCGACACTTCTATTCTATTCTAATAGAAGTGAGGCACGCAGCCTCTTTGTGGTGTGCGAAAACCTCTAAGCGATAATGAGGCAGGATTTCTTGTAAGAGGGAAGGAATTTCTTGGAAGTAGGAAAGAATTTCTTGGAAGCGGGAAATAATTTCTTGGGAGCGGGAAAGAATTTCTTGGAAGTCCCTTTCTTAAAGAACCAAGTAGGAAAGAATTTCTTGGAAGCAGGAAAGAATTTCTTGGAAGCGGGAAAGAATTTCTTGGAAGAGGGAAAGAATTTCTTGGAAGTAGGAAAGAATTTCTTGGAAGCATGAAAGAATTTCTTGGAAGCGGGAAAGAATTTCTTGGAAGCGGGAAAGAATTTCTTGGAAGTGGAAAAGAAGTGGCAGAGTTTTTTCGTTTTTTAGAGGGTCTACACACCTCAAGATATAATTCATTCCAAAGTGAATGCACTGACATGTAGTACGCAACCACAAGATAATACGTTCCAACATTATAAATGATCAGATTGAAAGAGAACTCTTGACTGTAAATAGTCGTTGATTCGAGTCATATTACTTTGTGATATATAGCTGCTCTAATATCAATTATTATTCATAACATCTCCCTCTATAATTCCCTGATATTCATCCCGCCAGAGAGCAGCTGAGACTCAGCACTTGACACAAAACATCAGGGGCCATACTTTCAAAACTCGCTAAGTGAACGTAAGTACTTACGCTCTATTTTCTTGTCTATGATTGGTGGATTTTGCTCGGCCGTCAATGATTGGCTGATGAACTTACGATCTCCTAACTTTTTTGAAAGTATAGGCCCTGGGGCCACACTTTCAAAACTCGCTAAGTGAACGTAAGTACTTACGCTCTATTTTCTTGCCTATGATTGGTGGATTTTGCTCGGCCGTCTTTGATTGGCTGATGAACTTACGATCTCTTAACTTTTTTTGAAAACATAGGCCCAGAGGTGGCCAGCACTCGCCTCCAGGTTCTTCATAAGGGCATGCCAGTCAGGGCGCGTCGTGCGCACCGCCTTCTTAATGTTGTCCAGGTGCCCCTGCCTGATCTTGGGCAGCGCCGCCCCCGGGTCCACTTTACTGCCGAAGGGCTTGGGGGGCGCAGGGGGCACGCTGCCAGGGGGAGGAGGAGGGGCCTTCGGAACGCTTCCATCCGACTGCAATGTTTGCATGTATAAACTTTTTGTTAACTGATTCAATTATTATAACCTCTGTCAATGATATATCTGAATGTCTGGTAACTATAGTTATGATCAGACAAATGGACCATTTGGTATGGTAAGAGAAAGTAGCGGAAGAAATCTTCATGGACGGTATACATTTATTTGTTACTTGTTATGCTTCAAGTTAGAAAGCAAATTCTGGTGAAACTGAAGCGCAAAGCACTAACATCATATTAAAAAATAATGTAAGATTCTTTGATCACGATGAAAACCTAATGATTTGAATGAATCGATCCAAAAAATTAAAATAAAATGAACGAATAAAACAATCTATAATAATAAACATAGAAAAGTCATAAATTTTAAAATTATGCAGAATGTTTTTTCCGTTTAGGCGTAATATGTTTGATTCTCAATTCTGGATAGGGACTCCGAAAACATACTACGTGCTCGCAGTATACTTGCATGACTCATACCCTCTTCATAATCGTACTAAAGTAAGTATTTATTTCGGATGAAGCTCATAAATGGTTCAACCTCACGCGGAATGAGCTGTCCAACTCAGTACTTCAATTTCATTTATTTTCCAATTGCAAAGTTCTTAATCATTGTGAAAGATTTAAAATGTACTACAAATTGAAACCACTCTTCTTTCGAGAGGCGAAAATTAAATTGAAGCTTAGGTCCATCTTTTGCTGTGTTTTCTAAACCTGCGATTTAAAAGGTTAAATGAATAGACTAATGATTTAAAGTATGATCAAACAGACACCATCACGGATTTAATTAATCGTGAAGGCTTTGAGGTTCTTTAATCTATGATAGCTGTGTAGTGTCCAGGTATTGTACAATCGCCAGAGTTACTGTAACAAGTTGACCCGTATACAGGCACATCATGCAAGTGAGAATACTGCTTGGATTTAAACTAAACTTGTACCTTCGCAGGCGTTTAACCTTGTTCAATTTATAACTGAATGAGCAAGTAATGGGTTGGAACAGAGCATTGATTTGTTGCAGTGACGTAAAACTACTTCTCATAAGTAAATTAATTCCATATATCAGAGTAAATTAGCTAGGGTTATTTCTCTACCTCATATCCGTCATAGTCGTTGTCGCAAGGCTGCCACCACTGCGGCCCTTCAGTCTTTAGTGAAGCAAAGCGGAGAGTTAAAGAGCGACGAAGAATTAATAAAGACACAAGAAAATAATCACACGTCGACATACGAAATTAAGCAGAAGGCGATATTATTTTAATAATGTTAGCAATGAACTCGATCTATGTTACTGACACGTAGTAAGTTATGTTACTTCTTGCTAAGGGCTTACATTGACTAGCAATGGCATTTAATTGCTAGCATGAGCTACAAGACATGAATTTTATGATTTTTTCAACTATTACAAATAAACTGAGGAAAAACTGGAGAAAACCTTTATGCAACACAAAAATTTCAAATGCATCAAGCATAGTATTTATTATGTATTTTTTTGCAATGCAATCCGATCAATGAAGGAAAAAGTCCTTCATCTTATTACGAAGTTGCAAAAAATTTTAAATAAAGAATCCGAGTAAATTACCAAATAAATTTATTACCACATTATATCCAGGTTCCTTTTTAGAATCTGAGACTTAATGAATCATTATGAGCAAAAAAAATATAAAGAACTCATTGAGAATAAATGAAACCTTTCACTGTATTAAAATATAATTAACAGCAATAAGTAAAATCGACGATCTGAAAAAAATATAAGGATAAATGAGAAGAATGCACCCGTTCCTTACAAAGCATATATTGGCAATAAAAGTTCGCATTTTTAAATCACACAGGAAATAAAGAAAATTATCCACGCCTCCCATAAAGCAGCAAATGATCATCACCGTCTGCGAAGAAATTTTGTTAAAATTCACTCCAAATTAAATGCAATAATATGCGGATCACATTAATTCAATAAAATATTATAAAAGCATATTGATTGTCCACCGATAACACGCTCATAATTTCAGCACCGCTGGTCGCCGTACGTCGGTGAGTCTGGGGCCATACTTTCGAAATTCGCTAAGTGGACGTAAGTACTTACGCTCTATTTTCTTGTCTATGATTGGTGGATTTTGCTTGAACGGCGGTCAATGATTGGCTGATGGACTTACGATCTCTTAACTTTTTTTGAAAGTATGGGCCCTGGTCGCTGTCGGTGAGTCAGGACGGTCGCGTCTTGGTAGCAGATGAGGTCATCGAACTCTTCCACTGACTGATTTATCTATCATGTTAGGTAAGCAATAAAATCAAGTGTAATATTCCTGAATAGATTCATTATGCTGTGAAAGGATTACTGTGACGTCCAAGTTCGGCGGTATGTATCAACGAAAAATAGGAAAAATAAGGAGTATGCCTTATTAGATATAAGATTGGCGCTATCATGAGGGTGGAAAAAAATCAAAGGAGAAAATCTGTTCATGAATGATTGCCATGACCGCCCGAGGTTTAAATGCATGGGATCTTCTGCTGTGATTGGCAGACCCACCTTGGATCCAGGTGGTGGTGGTGGAGGAGGGGGAGGCCCTACTTTAGGGGGAGGAGGAGGGGGAAGAGGAGCGTGAGATGGAGTGGGTGACTTTTCGACCATTATTTTCGGTTCCTGTTTGTGACTTGTTTCCTTTTCTTTTGCTTCGGTTTTATCTTCGTTGGTGTCCGAGACCTTGCTTTTAGGATGGTTTCGGGCATCTGAAGTTTCTGCTAAATTCTCTGCGTCACAGCCGTTGACTTTTTGTTTGTTTCTGCTCGATTTTCTCGGCGTGGATTGGTCGTACGTGACTTCCTTAGGGCGCTTCTTCAGGCCTTCAGCTGCGTCGTCAGTAGCAACTTCGTCGTCGGGTATGATGGTCCCCGTGGGGGTCTTCTTTAAAATAGACTTACGCACCGGCGGCTTCTGAACACAACAGCCGCAACACATAAGCTACGTCTATGAAACATATAATTTCAAAGTATTTCACAAGTCAATATCGACAAAGCTTCTATGTATTTCATAAAAATTTCTTCATTAATATTTGAATCGCCATAAATTCTTATAACGACTATGAATAATATTTAATCTTCGGTTGTTAGTGCACTCTAAAAATAAGAACGCACTCTTAAACCCAGAGAAACGCAATGAATGTTCGATAAAAGGGCAAACGCAAAGACTTTTTTTCCTATCCACCAATTGAGAAACAACAATACAATTTATATCTATTCCGTTTCTTGGAGGGTTGGAAGGCGATATTCGAGAAGACATCTGTTTCATAAAGAAAAAAGTTCCATTATTCTTGAGAAGAGATCACAGGACAGCTGATGAGACGGAGATAAGGTTATCTGGACAGCTCTCATTGCTGCGAGTATAATAGACAAATATGATTAGGATGCGTTCATTTTTGTGGCTGAATTCGGCTCCTTGTAAAGCTGTTGAAAGTCAAGAGATGTGGTAAAGTGAGATGAAGATTTGCATCGTCGCCTTTTGAACCTGACAGGAAGATTTATAATTAAAAAGATGTCAAAAGTTTCTTCGTAACAAATGATCTTAGAAACAATGTAAATTTTTGGCTCCCATCCACCTCGAACGCGGCTGTCAGCAAACAGATGGCGAGACGGCCTAAAAGGAACTTACCGGTTCATCTTCTTCGTGATTTTCCTTGACCTGTAACAAGAAAAAAACTTTGGACAACTCTCTCATGAAGTCATTGCATAAATTCAAAAACTAATTCTCACGTTGAAAAGACGATATTTGGGTATTGTAGGAACGAGTGACATTCGAATCCGTATTTATAATTTATCAAATAGTAACGAAACAAGATGAAATGAAAGTAAGAGAAGGTAATTCAACTACAGTAGTTGTGAAGCCCATGGAGCAGCACGTAAGTACTCTCAATTTTTCCCTTGCTTGCAGTTGTGCGCAGTGACAGTGTAGTTGTTTACTAGTGACAAAATTAATCTATCAAGTTGCAATGTTTTGAAATGAAGCTCACCCTCTGGCGGTGGCGCTCCAAGTCTTTCTTGAAGATGGGAGGGCCGGGACTGTATGGCTGCAAGGATAACAATCAGATTAATTTTTATTGTTAGGTGTACTTGTGATATAATTTTTCGATTTTGTGTCTCAAAACGTAAAAAGCGTTACTTACTTGTTTAAGTTACGTTACTTACCCTATCGTTTTCTTCATCACAGACCTGAAAAATAACACAAGATTAGAGTTATACATCAGAAAATACTGAACTGGGGATGAACTGATTAAATAGAGATGCATGAATGGATCAGAATACAAATAATTAAGAACCATTCTGAGGAAGTACGCATTGTCAATGTTTCAATGAAATTAAAAATCAATATTTTACGAAGTTGTAGCCAAAATTTCTACGAAATGCGTTAAAGTGGAAAGAAATGGAAGATCACCCAAGGAAACACGACACTTCTATACTAGTTAATAGAGGCTACGATCGAGGAGCGAGTGAGTTCTTCAATGAGTCGATCAAGCGGGCGTTTGGCATAGACCGAGTTGAGCATCCCAACTTACTTCAAGTTTTTTATTCTCTTTATTTTCTGAATGAGAAGACGTGATCGTCCCCTTTAGTTTAGCTTCTTCTTCATCAAGAGCGTTCAGGATATATTTCTTGTCTTCCTCTCGCTGTTTCTCAAGGAACTCCATTTTGGACGATGGTATGTAGCTCACAGCACCTCCCTGAAACAACGCCGTCGGAGTTTCTGTCTGGAAGAACGCGTTCTTACTGAGGTCCAAATCGACGTCGTCGGTAATATCGTCCAGAATATGCGAGGATAGAGCGTCACCGAGCAGGGATTGCCATTCCGAGGAGACTTCAGGCGCCGCCGGAACTTCCATGGTCGAAGATGGAACTTTGGACTACCAGAAAGAAGAAGAGAACACAACTATCAATAGGGCACACAAAGGCAATGCACACGCAACTAGAAAAACGAAGTCTAAAGGTTTAATTGATGCTACTTCTCTGTAGTGAAGCTTTAGAAATAAATTTTACGCTATGCTATAGGTGGCTAACACTAGCCACATAACACTAGCAAAAGTTCTAGATCCTACGAGTCTAATGAAAATAATAGAGGCCCGAGAATTTGTTAAGAATTTTTTACCTAACTCTGCGAATGTAGCTGAAGTTCGAACTCGAAGATGGAAGCAAAGAATATATTAATCTCCAATATGATTTTCCCACATGGAATAGAAATAACAAAAAACATACCACTTGAATAAATCCCGGTTGCTCTGAAACTACGGGCATGGATGAATGGAGATGAATTCTGGAATGTATTTATTTACATAACGTGCCTTTATCCGTTATCCATTAGTGTCAAGCAATTAGAATACATGCAATGTTATAATACAAGTTTTGAATCTAAAAAATAGAAGCACACAAATATTATGCAAAAAGGAACATGCCCAGTTTATTGAATTTGTGCAGACATTAGTTCTGTTGTCGTCATAGATGAATGTTAAGAAGAAAATGTTCGTGATAGAAATTTTCATGTGCTGGCATACAACTTTTACTGCGAGATTTAAATGCAAGTCATCATCAATAGCGTACCATGCAAGACAGTAATTTCAGCGCAAGAAACGTTCCATGAAAATAAGTCTCGGATATCAGATTGCGTTGAATTGATCTTTTCGGTTGGAATTTAGACACAACTGAGATGAAGCAGTCAAAAACGACGCCTCAACGTAATGGTTGTTATCAATTCGGATTTTTTGGTATCGTGCTAGCTAAAGGCGCGTACGAAAATTTCAAGCAGAAACGACTAATATCAGGATGTATTCAGATGTGAAATAACCCAAGTTTAATTTTTTATGAAATCCAAGGCAAACTCGCGATGTAACTGAGAAGGCTTAGGAAGAATTAAAAGTAAAAACAATTTGGGCCTTTGAAGTTAATCGTTAAATAAAACAAGTAACTAAAATAAAACTTTTAAAACAAAGCACGACAGTAATATAAGCCAAACAAAAGAAGCACTTGCATTAAAAATATCTAATGTAACAAACAATTATAAACTGGAAAAATCCGAGACTATAAAACAAAAGCAAAAACTTGAGCAACCAAATGAATATTTGGTAGATATCGGATTCAGGTTGAGGATCCAACGGAATGAGGACCTTTGCTGAGTCTGCTTCATGATCATGGGTCACTCAAAGAGTTCATGCCCAGGGATTCATGCCAGAGAGTTCATGCCCAGGGATTTGATGTCAGAGAGTTCATGCCCAGGGATTTGATGTCAGAGAGTTCATGCCCAGGGATTTGATGTCAGAGAGTTCATGCCCAGGGATTTCATGTCAGAGAGTTCATGCCCAGGGATTTCATGTCAGAGAGTTCATGCCCAGGGATTTCGCAACTCTGACGGAAAATGGCTGCAATAAGCCATGTTGCAAGCAGATACTCGCAACTATATACGGGAGACAAATTTTTTCAAATAATTGAACCTCTGTAATGATTTTTAAACATTAATGTTTCGTTTTCGAGATCTTGGTGAGTTTCAGAAGTTCGCGCGTTGCAGTAATAGCCTAGGTGCTATAACACCTTCGAAACCATATAGTAGTCGAATTCTTTATTAAAGTAGAAAATTTTTGGTTTAAATATCCAAATGACCTCAACGAATACCTAAAGAAACTTTAAACTTTCAGCTCCCGATGGCCCAGGTTCACATGAGAAAGCATTCCCCTGCTGAAGCCATGACCGCAAGCAGCCAATTGCAACACGTTTCAATTTAGCAACTCGGGGGAGCGAAACCGCGAGGAAAATGCAGCTGACCTCAGGAGCTCCGTCTCCATAGCCTCTTGAGTACTCGGACACTTGGCTCAGAGTTGCATCAGAGGCAATATCTTGTCTCTGTGAGCTCCCATCTCTGCGGTACGGTGCAAGCTCGGCCGGAAGAACTGATGGTACAGGCTGCGAGATCTGTTCGTCAGACTTTCTTCCGTCTTGAATTGCTACGGGATCTCTAGGAACTGATAGCCTCGAGACAGCTAAATACCCCGGTTTAACAGTCTCTGAAATTTCATTTCCTATTAGATCCAAGGCATCAGTATGTGCCAGAGACTCTGGCAACGTTTTTCTGTCCTCGAGAGAGTCATACGGCGCAGAACTCTGGCTCAGACCCTCAGCTGAACTTGGCACAGCGCGAGTCGTCAATTTTTGTGTCGCGATTTCTCCCGGGATGATGGCGGTGTGTCCTTCGGAGGGTGGTGGTCCTCTAGAACGAGGCACGATTTCTCCCGGGATGATGGCGGTGTGTCCTTCGGAGGGTGGTGGTCCTCGAGAGCGAGGTCGCGGGGGCAGAGGAGACGATTTCCTCACCTCAGAATCGGAGGCCTCTGACGCCTCCATCTGCCGCAGGTCACTCAGGCTGCTGCTGTTGCCGGACTCTGCAGGCGGCCATCTTCGTCTCTGTCACGTACAGCAATGCAAGTACGAAAAGAGCTTCATAAAACCCTTACCTAAATTTAGCATGTAAAAATTGATAAGAAACAAACAATTGCTCACGAAAGACCGAATGGCTAACATTTACATAAATTGCTAGGTAAAAGTATTAAAATCACTTGATTGTTTAAATCGCAAGTTTTAACTGAACTGACGATGGAGCTGGACTCCGAAACGTTTTCTCTTATAAAGATATGGTGAATTTTTGTGTTATTGTTTTTGCTTTTAAATTCCTAGGTAAAAGTAATTGAAGTCACACAACAAATGACTAAGCATCCGATTAAAAAAAACTCAGCTGAGGGCGAGGTAACGTAGCAGCCTTACCACGCGTGGCGAAGCGGTAGCGGAGGAAGGACTACTCCGTATTCTCGAGTCTGAACTCTGTGGAGAAAATGTCAAAGAATTACAGTACCGGCATACTTTCTATTATGTTAAAATACGGAATTTATGGTGTTTGGATGAATAATCGCACGAAGTTTTCGGAAATGATTTATGTTTTGTCGTTGGTGTCATTGAACGTAATCTGTGCTCGCATGTAGCAAGAAGGAACTTCCTGCCATGCTTAGCTGGAGAAAGTTCTCTCCGTTATCCAGGCAGTAAAATGAGTGTTCTAGAATACTGTACAACTACAGCTCTCCTGAAATCTTAACGCAATTTTGCTTCATTCCATGTATGTATTTATCAAGAAGAGATGAATACTTATGTTACGAAGGACATATTTATAAAAAAATCCTGTGGTCAAACATTGTACATTGTGCGGTCGTTTTCAAAGTACATTGGGTCGCCATCTCACTCAACGAGGGTACAAAAAGATAAAGAACGCGCAAAGAATTTGTTCTCGCATAATCAGAGAAACACAGTGTCACATGGTATTGTCCTGACAATGGATGATCCGACAGGGCGCAATAACATCACACAATTACAACAATGTGAGGACAAGGGCAAAGCCATGCCTCCACACCTGCGTGTCCTGCTCCACGAAGTTCTCACTTTTGTCCCCCATCACCAACTTCTTTATGATCCCTCCCCACCTGGCCAGTGTCTGCATGGAAGTAACGAAACCTCTGCCTCACTTTCCTCGCGAAAATAGGTCATTTAATAGTATAGATGTTTTTATGTGAAGGTTATAAGTTCGTTGGTAATTTGCGAAGTTACTTCGGTGATGCTTCGCCTCTTAACAACCAACTTCGGAGTGAGATAATGCCTTACATTTGTCTTTGGTCTCAAGAGCCACGAATATTAAATGTCAAACTAATCTCTTAGTTTGACAATATTCTTAATTAAATATTAAGAATATCAAATGCACCCATCCTGCTCTGCCATAATTGATCGTATTCAGCATCAGCTACTCACTCTAGACCGGACGCCTCGACCTCCGTCAGGCACCAGCAGGGTGGCATCTTCCTCCTGCACATATCAATGATAATGTTTATTATTATGCCTTCCATCTCTTCCTCCTGCACATAACAATGATAATGTAATAATAATACGGAAGGTAGACTTCCTCCTGCACATAGCAATGATAATGTTTTATTATTATGCCTTCCATCTTTTCCTCCTGCACATAGCAATGATAATGTGTTATTATTATGCCTTCCATCTCTTCCTCCTGCACATAGCAATGATAATGTTTTATTATTATGCCTTCCATCTTTAAAATTTATGCACTGAACGTAAATGTAACCACGTATAGAGTACGCTGTGTTCCATGCATACTCAGCTCAAACGTTCAACTCATCCTTAATTAAAATAGCCGGATAAATTGAACTCGGATTGAACAATAACTGAATTAATTGATGTATTAGAGGAAATATCTAGTGGTTACAATATTACAGACCTCTATTATTTATAGTATAAACTAATGTTTACGTAACGTAGTTATAACTGCCAGCAATAGAACTTAGCATCGGTAATTGTGACGCATCAATGTTCAGGTTCTCAGTCTGGACGGTGCTTATTGAACAAAATTTTGTGCATTTAAAGTTATCCGAATTATCCATTTAATAACTATCCATCATTGGATGCGTATGCGGTTTAAAGAGAAATCTGTTTTACATATTGGATTTAGAAGAATCTATCAGATTAGGATTGTGATCGGGAAAAAATTGTTTAACTTTAAATCATCGAATCCTATATGCAGAAAACTTGAATCGAAAACATCTAATTAAACGCCATAAAACGACCACAAACTGGCCATTTTTTTAAAATGAAGTTTAGGTAGTGTAGAAGATTAGTTTGACAATTCATGATACGCTGATAATAAATTTCAAATTTTAATTAATAAGATTTTCGTTGCTTACCCGAACAGGACGAGCGCGGGGCGTACACGGCCGGGGCGGCACTCCGGGCTCACTCGTCGGGCTCCCGCTCTGGTGCAACAACAATAATATTAAGCCATTCTCATCATTAATTTCTGTAGAAAAAAGCCGGTTAGTATCTATTCATTAGGCGACCAAACTTTGATTTAATTTTAGCAAACAGTGCAGTTACATGATATGCATCGAAGCAGATATCTAGAGCTGTTTCCCCATATTGATTTTTCTAATCTAAATTTTATTTGGTTTTATCACCGTCGTCTCACCTGCCAGCGATAATTTCTCACGTAATATTGAGACAAGCAAGTTCAACGTTCGTACACACTCACTAACACTTCAGTCAGTTAGTTACGCAGTGACTATAAGTGCGTCAGGAAACATTCACCGGCTTCCTTTTCATTTGAGAGGATCATATAGTACACAGTTAGAAAAATTACTATTAACGGTATTACCGGCGTTTCAGTGGCCGATCGGCACGTGAAAAGAAACACCGTGTCGCCGTTTTTATTCTAATTTAACACTAGAAATCCGTAAAACATCTGATAAAAACGGCGAAACAGTTTATTTTCACGGGGCGACCGGCCACTAGAACGCCAGTGGGACCGTTTTTTCACCGTTTTTTTCCAACAGTGTATGATGGAAGCATTTACCTTTTTCTCAAAGCCTTCTATGTATGTACCTTTTGGTTTACAGGTGCCAAACTTGGAAGCAAATTTCAACCCAGTTCCTTAACAATGCCCGATAAGTGTCAATTGAAGGAGAGATCACAGAAAAATACGAGCGCAAGCCTAGACGCAAAGAAGGCAATAATTTAACATGATATTATAAAGCAATCCTTATAGTTTTAAACTAAAAAACATAGATGAAGTACACGCTGAGCGTTACAGATTAGAAGGTTTCTGAAGAGAAGAAAAGGGCAGGGGCAAAATGAAAGGTCAGTCTCATTGTTCTTTCAACGGGTAATCCCTTATTATTATTAGGGGAAAATAATTATAAGACAATAATAAATAAAGTTAGGCACGAATATCAAATTTGCGTTCGAATTTATCGCCTTTTCTGTTCGAAGGAAAACATAACTCAATAAAACCGAACGAAAATACGAAATGTTTCGTTAGCACCAGACAGTTATAGGAGAACAGAATTGCTTTTTTGACGTCATCACGCGAGATGGGGCAACACGCACGATCGTTCATAGTTTCACAATGGCAATATTGTTATTTTTATGCATCGTGGATTCAACAGGAAGATTTTTATTTAAAATTAGCAAGGAGAGAATACGGATGTGAAATTGATAGAATATGTATTTACTGATGCCACTGTGCTTGAGGTGGCCTTATTCGTTTCGCCATTCACAATTTTTTGCCGTTCTATATTATATTTCTTTTAATTTGATCTATATTAAATAAATACTATTAATATATCTATTAATAGATATTAATAAATCGCTCTCTCGTACATATGTTAATAATATAATATTTAATGAATATTAATATTCCGAGCACAGAAAAAGCTGTTAAAAAACAGCCGGGCAGGGTATAAAGGTAATCACTTACCATTTTTCGTAACTCCAAGCTTCAGTTCCTGTTTATAGTATAATCACGAAACAACAGTGGAACATTTCATTTATATAATCATAAAAAGATTTATATAATTTGTTTATATAATCATAAAAATACAATCAGACACAGAAATCCTCTGGATTAGAAACTAAATCTAATATCATGTTGTTGTTTTTTTTTCCTGGAGATGGGTTCGAACAAGGAAACTTCGTAATCTATAGAATTTTTATCATACTTATTTTAGTTTAATACCCAAATGGAGACATGAAATTATGAACACACACGTTGGGAATCTATCACTTGCAACCACGAGGGCTGCTGACGACAAGCTCAGCGTCAGAATAATCAAAGTTTAGTGCATACAACATGAGGGTACATCGAACTTTGAAAGGGCAAAGATTCAAGCAATGTTGAAGTTAATGTTGAAGTAATACATAATAATGTTGTTGAAGGTAACAAATATCATATTTACAGTCACATGCATCATCGGGTGCAAGCAACTACGAGCTCATCTAAGAATAAATAGGATATAATGTCGAATTATTGAGGCATTAATGAGACAGTGCAGTACAGGGAGACATTAATGTGTAGGTGCAGCGGGCTCACCACAGAGCGCTGGCGTGCACTCCACCTCACAGGACTGCCACCACAACCCTGCGCCGAGGAATACCTTAGATCTTACAGGATCTACCTTAGGATCTATACCTTAGGACCTATACCTTATAGGATCTATACCTTAGGACCTATACCTTATAGGATCTATACCTTAGGACCTATACCTTAGGATCTATACCTTAGGATCTATACCTTAGGATCTATACCTTAGGATCTATACCTTAGGATCTACAGCTTAGGATCTATACCTTAGGACCTATACCTTAGGATCTATACCTTAGGATCTATACCTTAGGATCTATACCTTAGGATCTATACCTTAGGATCTATACCTTATAGGATCTATACCTTAGGATCTATACCTTAGGATCTATACCTTATAGGATCTATACCTTAGGATCTACAGCTTAGGATCTACACCTTATAGGATCTATACCTTAGGATCTATACCTTGGGATCTACCACCACCCAGGTATCAGGTACCAAAAGCTCGTTTAGGGACTCCAATCCAAGGCCATGCTGCAAGCACCACTTTCGACGGCTTCCAAGCGCAGTCCACCAGCGACGCCGAGCAATGAACTGAGCTTAGCAAGGCTCGAACCCACGACTAGCTCCTCTCATCCCGGTGCCGCTAGAACTACGTACGCAGTGGCGCTAACACTGTGCTAAATAGTGGCTACGCTACAGCGCTAGTTACGCATAAGTATTATTGCGCATGCTCCTCGTATGGGTCACTTGAACACTCGTAATGTGAGGAATATGAGAGAAGAATTCGATAACAAATTGAAAATATTCGGGAGTACATTTGGAATCAGTGGGAAAACATGATAATTCAACGCTCCTGCACTGAAGAATGATAGGTAGCTTGTTATAAATGACGTTCACTAGCACTAAAATGGACTCAGCTGCTGTTATCTGAAATAAGAGTTCACGATGGCAGTGTAAAAGGTTATAAGAGAAAACCCTGATATATGGATGATTCCCTGCAATAAATCACAATAAAATTGGGTATGAAAAAGTTAAAAAGAAGGAACATCTTCAGATGGGATCATTAAAAGTCCAAGTTTGCCCTTTCATTCGAATGAAACATAACAATGAACATATGAATTAAAATATAGATCAATCTCAAAACAAATGCACTCCAAAGTCAACTCGAAGAACATAGCATAGGTCAATAAGTTAACTATATAGGGCGACTATAGTTGTCACGTACGTAGTCTTTCCCTTGATTTAATAGAGACGTAGTCAAATAAATCAAAGATATTGTTTCCGGAAATTAAATGCCCGATATTAACGGCTGCCTAAATGTTCTTGACAGCAGCACTTGCAACGATCAGCACGTACGAAAAGTCAAGTTTGCATGAAAAATTTACAAAGAAATACTCGCTTCAATTTCCGTAGATTTAAGTCATTTAATGCTAAATTTGTTCCCACTACAAATAAAGAAGAAACGAGCAAAGAACTCAATTCACCGGTGAGTTGAACTGAACATAGTATAAATTAAGTTATGAATATGAAAAAAATCAGAGATAAAAGTTGAAGTTGATTACTACACGAATGTAAGTTCGTAGATTACTCACTTTCTCGACTGACTTCTTTTGAACCGTTACCTGGCCACGTGGAACAGAGTGAACGATTGTTAATTATGCTGTGAGCTTGATGAATAAACTTCAAGTTAGGTTTTTATTGTACTTTATTTTGATAAATAATCTATTCTAATTCTGAAGTTTAGTTCAGCTGTGTTAAATTAAGTTTCCCATGTGGACTCAGATTGAATATAATGTAAAAAAATATAACTCAGTACTCAGTGCAGTGAGTGACAGAGAGCGCATTTTCTCGTCGACGAACACTTGTGAGGTCACGGACGGACGGACAGAGAGACAGACGGACTGACGGACGGACATGGCGAGCACAATAGTGAATTTTTTCCATAAACGAGAAAATGCGCTAAAATGCATGATATATGTAATTAAAGCTATATATTTTTAATAACTAGACCGGATTTTGACTAAAAAAATCTGACAGTTAAGAGCCCACCTTGTTGAGATCGTCTTGGGCATCAGGGGGCGGAGCAGGCAGAGCGGGGGGACATGCAGCCATGGTGCCGCTGCTGGGGCAACTCTGACCATGTTGCTCTGCCATGTTGCTCTGCCTGACGCCGTCCTGTAGCTCTGATGGGGGCGGCCACTTGTTACTGAGGCTGTTGCGCCGCCAGCAGCTCTCGCCCTGCCACTCTGCCTTCCCTTCGTCGCCTGAACTGCGCTCTACGCTGCCACGCGGTCTGTGTACATGGCGGGAAAGTGTCATGGGGTCTGTGTACATGGCGGTAAAGTGTCATGTGGTCTGTGTACATGGCGGGAAAGTGTCATGTCACTTTACATGACACTTTACATGTCATGACATGTAAAGTGTCATGTCACGATCTGAACATTGAACTGTGCTCGACGCTCCCACGTGGTCTGTGTACATGGCAGTAAAGAGTCATGTGGTCTGTGTACATGGCGGTAAAGTGTCATGTGGTCTGTGTACATGGCAGTAAAGTAACACGCGCACTGTGCGCACGTTGCTTAGGCGCTCCTCGGCGTGCTGTGTGCATGTTGCCAGCTTCTCCTGGGTTGTAAATTACACTTAATAATTTAATTTTTAATTATTCTGTCTGACGAACTGCTTATGCAGTTCGTCAAACGGAATAATTATACCATTCCATCGGCAGAATAATTGTAATGTATAAAAATCATACTTGCCATGCAAAAAAAAATAATAATCCATCAGAAACGATGAATAGTAATTTAAAAGCGTCGTAGAATTTACAATCATATATGAAATTCAGACGATGGAATGTCATCATGGGTTTAAGAATTTCCAAGAATGAAACATCTGGCAGGTGGCAGCGTGCACCGATGAGACGGTGTGGGACGTCTCAGAAATAGATTGCTTAGTCACGGCCATCCCCAACCCGTGCTGCAATCATTGCTGCCGTGTGCTGTGACCACAGCAGCAATCACTGAATGCTATGAGCGACAGCAGCAATCACTGAATGCTATGAGCGACAGCAGCAATCACTGAATGCTGTGAGCGACAACTGCAATCGCTGAATGCTGTGAGCGACAGCAGCAACTGTCTCTTATACACATCTAGATGTGTATAAGAGACAGCGACAGCAGGCAATGTTGTCATGGTGCTGGCAACAGCAGGTAATGTTGTCATGATGCTGGCAACAGCAGGTAATGTTGTCATGGTGCTGGCAACAGCAGGTAATGTTGTCATGGTGCTGGCAACAGCAGGTAATGTTGTCTTGTCATAGTGCTGGCAACAGCAGGTAATGTTGTCATGGTGCTGGCAACAGCAGGTAATGTTGTCATGGTGCTGGCACTGTCTCTTATACACATCTAGATGTGTATAAGAGACAGGTACATGGCGGTAAAGAGTCATGTGGTCTGTGTACATGGCGGTAAAGTGTCATGTGGTCTGTGTACATGGCAGTAAAGTGTCATGTCACGATCTGAGCACTTGTTATATTTTACATATCCTGTGCAAAATATATGTTCAGATTTGAAATGCCTAGCTCCATATCGAACCCGGTGGAAGTCTAGTAGCTACTTCAAACTATCGCCAGTCATGAAAAGATCCGGTCAAATGACACGAGTTTAGATCTTCTGAGAACAAGGCACGAAAAGGAAAAGAATCGGCGACAGGCCACATCAGGCCTACACTTCAGAGCCGACATCATTATGTTATGTTATGTTATGTCAACTTACATGTCAGGTGACGTGTGTGTCATGTTATATGTTTCAACGCGTGCTTAGTCATACAACGCCTTGTTGAACTTGCATGTCAGGACTCAGGCGACAATTTAAGCAAAGGAACAATGCATCATTGCAATCCTCTAAGATACACTGCAAAGAATGACATGCACCGCTGTAAACTAAACTTTATATTAATATTAATGATGGAGAAGAAGATAAATATCGTTCACTTTATTATTATATAATATTTTAGACCTGAACAAATGCCAACCTCGGACGGATATTCAATTTAATCATCAGCTTCCCATTGTAAAAACAATATGTGTAACATAAGTTATGTTGTTAATAAGAAAACAACATGCAGCACAACAACGTGCGTTCAGCAACATGCAGTACAACAACAGCAGGTAATGTTGCCATGGTGCTGGCAACAGCAGGTAATGTTGTCATGGTGCTGGCAACAGCAGGTAATGTTGTGCAATCACTGAAGCTGAGCATGTTATGACAAAAAAAATCCGTGACCAACTGACCGACTCTGGCCAAATCAGGAGCCTCGGTCGTCACGAGAGTCGCTGATATACCTAGCGCATTAGCTGAACATTAGCTTAGCTAATGCGCTAAGAACGCAGAAGCTGAACATTAACTTAGCTAATGCCCTAAGAACGCATTAGCTGAACATTAGCTTAGCTAATGCGCTAAGAACGCATTAGCTGAACATTAGCTTAGCTAATGCGCTAAGAACGCATAAGCTGCACATTAGCTTAGCTAATGCGCTAAGAACGCATTAGCTCAACATTAGCTTAGCTAATGCGCTAAGAACGCATAAGCTGAACATTAGCTTAGCTAATGCGCTAAGAACGCATTAGCTCAACATTAGCTTAGCTAATGTGCTAAGAACGCATTAGCTGAACATTAGCTTAGCTAATGCGCTAAGAACGCACAAGCTGAACATTAGCTTAGCTAATGCGCTAAGAACGCATTAGCTGACCATTGTATAGGTAGCGCAATATTCTGCTGTAAGTGTCAGCCTGGGTATCTAGTGCATGGGGTATCATGCAGCATGTAACTTTTTAACTATAGAAATTAATCGGAATCGACTTTCCCATTAAACTTGTCCGGGCATCTTGTCACGCGTAACATTTGTGATTTGTATTGAGGCAAATTATGTTTATTTTTGCATGATGGTGTTTGAGGCAATGAAATCTTAGTAGAGCATTCAATTCAATGATGTAGTGTTTTGCTTTCTTTTCTTAAGCCCTGCGAAATTTATTATCGGTTTCTTATAGCAATCAGTGACAATTAAATGGTATAACTACAGCTTTGAACCTGGAGCGATTCCATTCGTGGTCACATATTTATAGATCAAGCACCACCAACACTCATTATATTGATCATGGTTGAACTATATAAAATTGACCCACGTTTCGAGAAATTTTAACACCGTTCTGAGCATCTTCAATGTGACGTCACTTGTCTCGAAAAACGTAAAAAAAATGTCGTATGTGTCGTCAATTAATTGTTAAAAGGGTCGCTTTTGAACAATATAAAATAATAGACCTCCAATTTTTAAAGAATTTTGTCCAAAATAGCAAGCAACAAGTCTTGTTCATAACCATCCAGCGTCAGGAATCAAATTTGTCGTACGTAAAATGAATACAACGAAAGTAAAACCTCTGGGGCTGACCGATCAACTTCGTGCTGCGCTAATGGCTGTCACTTCTCCGGGACTATACTTTCAAAAAAAAGTTAAGAGATCGTAAGTTCATCAGCCAATCACTGACGGCCTTTCAAGCAAAATCCACCAATCATAGACAAGAAAATAGAGCGTAAGTACTTACGTTCACTTAGCGAGTTTTGAAAGTATATACCCTGGTCATCCGTCTGATGTTCTGAGAAATATAAAAGCGTATTCAAGAAAATTCAGTTTTCGCCATCTGAATTGATTTTTGCATCTCTTTGATCAATATTATTCATTGTTTTTACCTTTTTGATGAATCTCCTCGTAATTTCAAATCGATATAATATGATCGGTTATTTCAGTGTCACTTAATTTATATAGATAATGAACAGGAAAGTAAACCAGCATTAGCTTAAAATAAAACTGCAAAAATCACAGAGATGCATAAATAATAGCTTGACGAAAACGTGGTATATCGGAGGGGCACTTTACTATTTATTTAGCCGTTTACATAGTTAGACTGATGGCCGCCATTAAATACCTTCAGAAATCAGTTCACTTAGATGGTCGTTTTCTTTCCCATTTATTTGATTAAGCGCACAAAACAATTGTATTTTGGCACCGGCAATGTGTTAAGCAAGTGACTATAACTGTGATCAACATTGACGACAGTTCAAGCATGCAATGACAAATAATTGGAAAATTCTAAAACGATTTTAGACAAATATTGTTATTTTCATGTAGAGCGATGTAAGAAAAGTTTTGAGACAATATAATTAACAAGGATTCAAGCAAAAATACTTAGAAGATTTGTAAAAAAAACTCTTGAATGATTTACACAGGGAATGCTTAAAAGATTAGAATACAAGCTGGAATTACTTAAGGAAAGGGATAAGCGGAAGACAAAATGAATTTTATTTATTTTTACGATGTGTTAAGTTTTGGTCAAATTTTGGTGTTTGGATTGGTTTTTGGGAAAGACTTGCGATTAATAACACAGTTATTACAGTTAAGTTTTGTTTTGTTGTTTTGTTTTGTTGTTGTAAGTTGTAATACAGTTAAGCATGTGAGTGAATATGACGAAATTAGGCACATGGTAAGCTTAAATGGACAATATCGATGCGAGCAATTGTGATGATCTGAAGATCAGATCTTGCTCAATTCGTAGGCATGCAGTGAGCGCACAAATGCCGTAGTTAGTCCTAGCAGGCAGGACTGTAAAGCGAGGTGGTCAGTACCTGACTTTATACATGTGAGGAAACATTGCTGCTTCTCGGCTGGCCGCGGTCTCGTTCGCTGAAACAAAATTTCCACGTCAATGAAATAATAATAACTGAGAGCTAATGACTTTATTTTAGTCTGAAATTGAAATGTGCGAAATAATGTAAATATATTACTCACGTTATTTCGGTCTTCTACTTTGAACTTAAACTGGGAATTCATTAAAGAATCGAAGTTTAATCTCAAAAACGACGCAGGAAAAACGTGGATAAGCAAAGGAATCAGAAACTGTACACGACGGTGCGACACAGCGATCGATGTATTTGTGTGTCATCACTGCAGTCATAACCCAGACTCATATCCCATACTCATAACCCATACTCATAACCCATACTCATAACCCATACTCATAACCCATACTCATAACCCAGCAACAGCAGGTAATGTTGCCATGGTGCTGGCAACAGCAGGTAATGTTGTCATGGTGCTGGCAACAGCAGGTAATGTTGTCATGGTGCTGGCAACAGCAGGCAATGTTGTCATGGTGCTGGCAACAACAGGTAATGTTTTGACGCTGACACACAATAAGTTTTTCAGCAGCAATGCGCGTGAATGCCATTAAATATTTTCACAAATAACTCGTAAACAATTCGATCTTGTGTCGTCCGTCAGAAGAGTTGTCCGTAGTCAACTGATAAATGGATGTAGATGATGAGATAAAAGAGATAAAAGAGCCCTGTTATATATCTGATGGTGCCCTTTGCGCTGTAACCCACTGTAAATAAACGATAATTAGACCTGTTGAAAGTGCGAGTTTTGAATTAAGCCTTTAGGAATGCGCATAAGCATTTCTAAATTACGCTTTGGTGGCCTCTGCGGGTGTACATGTAACTGAATGCACATTTATAAAACATTACCTGATGATAACTGTGTTAGAAATCTACTGTAGCACCGCAGCATTCCATTCGTTAATCGCGTACGCGCAATATGGATCATAAAGATCACGATCATAAAGCTCACGATCATAAAGCTCACGATCACAAAGCTCACGATCATAAAGCTCACGATCATAAAGCTCACGATCATAAAGCTCACGTAACCCATACTCATAACCCATGCTCATAACCCGTAGCCTTAACCCATACTCATAACCCATACTCATAACCCATACTCATAACCCATACTCATAACCTATACTCGAGTCACAACAGAAGTTCGAGAAATGAAATAAATTAAGAACAGGCCGGGCTATAACAAATCGAGTCCATGGACTTGACGTCAGTTCGTGATACTAAAATACTGAAGATCGCCTAAATGCAAACTTATATAACATCGCTAATTGCATTGAGGGTAATTAAGGTTAATGTAACGACCTCAGCTCCATAGTCATTGTGTTTGGTAAAATTTTAATATCAATAAGGAGACTGTGATAATATTACTGCTGAACTACTGGCCCTTACACGAAACAAAAAAGAAACATTTCAAGCCAGCTGCTGCTAATTGATATATAAAAACACCCTTGCTCACCAGCTGGTTGCCGCCGATCCTTGAACATCGTTCAGTCGGTAGATATATACGATAAACATTACTAAATCATTGCTGGTCACTATTGATACACAAACGATAATACTGAAAATATGATAGTTTTATTAAAGAATCAAACCTTTAATGATGAACAGTTTGCTGTTGAAATTAAGACATTGTGTTGCTCACAGCTGGCAGCCATTGGCGCTAACATAGCGCGGGTGTACGGCTGGTCACCGTAGCACAAATGCCGTACAAGATTAGCACGTTTCGTAAAGCTAGCAAGTCTTTAGTGAGGTACTAGACTCTATTAGTGCAGTAGAAGCAATGTACGCCTATAAAAATTTAAGATTATACATATGTCCTGTTCTACACTTCTGATGAGGTTTCCTAAATAAAAATGAAAATCACACAACTGTGCTTGGTTTCATTTTAAAGGTCAGCCACGACATTTTTCCCAGCTAAGCTTAAAATTTTAGCACTTAAGAGAATTTATATTAATTTGGGTTTATATTTTTTGTGTACAGGTCCTGAAATTTAGTCGTGATGATTTTAACCACCCTCAGCAAGCTCACGGACAATCCTGGACCTATGTACACTTTGTCGCTCGAGTGACGACATTCAGTTATGAATTAATCAAACTATAATATCTAGTTTAATTATACCACACTTATACTTGGTATGGTATAATAATTATACTTGGTATAATTATTATAATACTATAATTATATAGTATAACTATAGTATATACTAATATAATACTAATAATTATATATAATATACTATATATATATAATTATTAGTTTATAATTAAATAATAATATAATTATATACTGTAATATAATTATATAGTATAGTTATATCATATAATACTTGGTATAATTAATATATGGTATGAAATTTAAATAGAGTTTAACAGCGATCTGCTCCCCGCGGAAGCTGTGCGTGTGCCACAGTCACTGCAACGTAAATAGCTCGCGACGAGCGCATTCCTGGGGCGCTGCTAACTAGTCTCGAGACCTGGCGCTACTTTGAAATGTAGCGGCGCTACCGCTACCGCTACATTGCCTTAAATGTAGCGCCGCTACCGCGACCGCTACTGAAAATGTAGCGGCAGCTAGTAGCTGCCGCTGCATGTAGCACGCTACTGCCCACGTCTGCTAACTAGTCTCGAGACCTGGCGCTACTGGTCGCATTGCAGGACCAATACATTAGCTTCAGTTAGGATGACGATGAATAAAGCTCAAATCTCATGTTTATTTACCCTATGAGGTAAATATGCTTAGAAATAATTGTAATTGCAAAACTCTATATGAAATAAGAATAATTATAAGAATAGTATAATTAGAAATAGGAGCGATGAAAAACATTAGATTTTTAAAATTACGAGCTTCAAGAAAATAAGTTGAAACAGAAAGTCCCCTCGCTTCAGAGTTCGGCGGTATTCACAACTGAATTACAATAACGCATGAAACCTTCAATAAGTCAGTAGGCTATATACCAAAAATCAGCATATGATGAGTAGACGAAGCTATGCAGGAGCATATGTTCAGTCTTAAAATGCAGCTGCTGACACGGACGGCTTAACTCATCCGCTGCTGCTGACACGGACGGCTTAACTCATCCGCGTACGGCAGCCTCAGGGGAGACCTGAGTTCACGACCTACCCACGCTTGCTTAATGCTCCGTGAAGATCTCTGCAATAATGCCCGCATCTCAGGGTATAAAGTGAACCACTTGTCTCACGGTTGTGTTCAGGTTTGAAGGATTTATAATTTGTAAAGAGATAAAAATTATTTTTTGTTGTATTTTAAATGGAAGACTAATTGTCTGACATTTAAAGTATGCGTTATTTTATATATGCGTTTTTTTGTTTCAAAGCCATAAATTTGCTCGCTGTGTGCTATGTTTGGACACGTAACCCATTTTAGAAAGCCGAAACCACGGAGAATAATTACTCGATATTCCCGTCAGAATTGAAGCGTACGGTCTACTAGCTGATGGTCTTCTATTTTTGTACGCCTTCCTGCAACGAGAATAACTTCTTACAGATATTTTAACTTCATTACCTTTATCTTTTCAAATTTTTAAAACTTTTTACTTTATAATAGCTCAAGGTTCAACATTATATACATTAAAGTGTTTCGATAAGTTGCGTTCTTGCCGATGAACCGCGCGCGAGCACACCCCTGCAAGCAGCAGCCACCAACGCTCGGGAATACCGGCCGCCCTCCTCCCACGGATTATTTTTAGCTCCTCTGAGACAAACGCTGCAGGCGGTGCTGCGTGGTAAGCGAGGCCACCGTTCCTATGTCATCTCTTTATTGTACTTAACCACTGTGCCAGTTCATTATACTTTCCGTATTCTAAGTCATCTCTTTATTGCACCTAACTACTGTGCCAGTGTGACATATTCTACTTTCCGTATTCTAAGTCATCTCTTTATTGTACTTAACTACTGTGCCAGTGTGACATGTTCTAATTTCCGTATTCTAAGTCATCTCTTTATTGTACTTA